GATATTGTTCATGTTTTGACTATTACTAATATTTTAGAATGTGCATTCAAAGTACTTGGGAAATCTGGATTGATTAGTATGCCAAGAAAAATATTGTGTGAAGTGAAAATAGAAGAAAAAATGATGCATATGTTGTTAGAATATGAAAGTAGCATACATTGGTAGGAATTCAAAGTGAGGCAAAATATAATGTAACCAAAGGAAAAAAAACTGGACTCATTCTTATATGTTAATGAGACCACACCTGGAACAATGCATTTAATGTGGGATACCTCTAACAAAAATGAACATCTAGGAAATTGGAAATAGTTCAGAGACAAGCAATAAGAATGATTACCGGTTTGCAAAGACTGAACTGCCACAAGATTAAAAGGCCTTATATTTGTTTAACGTGGCTAACATGACTTAAAAGTGAGCATGATATCTGTTTATAAACATCTGAAGGCTGAGTGTAAGCATGGAAGAAGTAGTAGAGTTGCCTAATATGCTACTCAAATGATTCAACTGGAGAGAATTTTCAAGAGAAAATCTAAAAGTAAATATAATGAAGCCGTCTCCTAGAAAATGTGCATTTCCTTTCTTTTAGAGGCCCTGCCAAGAATGAGGAAATTTAGCAGGTCCCCTGAAGATTTGATTTCTTCACTTTCACAATCTAGTAGAAACCTTTTTAAGCTTGATCTTTCTGCACAAAATTACTCAGCAAGTGTGTTTATTTATAGATTTTAGAAAACCGGCAGCACAGGGCTCTAGATTCTTGGGCAATCGTGTTTTATCTTCATTTGTTCTTGTAGTCTGTCATCAGTAGAGAGGTAGATTAAAAGACTGTTCAACCTTGTTCATATTAAGGTTGGTCTTTAAAACTCGATACATCCAAAGCTCAAATGGTTTGGCTTAGATTTACTAAGAAACAACTGAATTATTGTATTTTTGAAAAATTGTGTATACTTCCAGCTGGAATTCATAGATATACCAAAAGGTGCTCAAGAGATTTATTTAGGGATTATTTCTACAAGCATCCAGTCCTCTGCATTCTTTTTCTGTAAATGTAGTGTCTTATTCCAATTTTTAGCCTAAAACCTGTTCTTCTTAAAGCGATGACCTGGTTTTTCCCTTAAGGTTGCTTTTAAATGAAATTAAAACAAAAATTATGTTTTGGATTATGAGCTCCTAGAGCACTTTCGTTTGTTTGATTTGACTTATACAAAACCTAATGCCAAAACAGAGCCATGCACATTTGAAAAATAAACAAATGGTAAATGGTAACTGCGGAGGCATCCCACCCCAGAGAAGTTGGTTGAGGGAATTGCTAATAAGTGAATCTTGTATTTCCACTACAAAGTCATATATTTTTTTATCTCCCCACTCCTCCCAACACATAGCCCTTTTCAGATTGAGTTTACATGTACGAATATTCTGAGAGCCTGATTCATGTCATGCAGGACCCACTGGTGTTTTTGAATCACTTCTAGAATCTGGCAGCGGGTCTCTGACTTCAGTTCCTCCCACGAAACCTTTTAGGCCCTTTGAGTTTCTCCCATTGTTCTACTTTTCCTCCCTTCTAACTTGTCTATAGAACTTTGTTGCAGTACTGGGCTAATAGATGCTGGGGAAGGGTGATGAGTAATTGATACAATATTTAAGAAAAATAATTTGCTTTTTAACTGTGTACTCATGAATTGTTTGCATTTTGCCATAAATAAGATAGTAAGCAAAACAATAAATAATACATGAAGTTTAAAAACATGGCTCAACCTCAGAGACTTCAAGTATATTTTAGACAAGAGCAATCATTAACTAAGCACAGAATTTAAAAAGTAATACCTCAAAGAAACTTGAATGCAACATTTTGTTCTAGTAATGAAAACCGGAGGCTTGAAAATATATCTTGAAGGGTCTGAATGACATATGGAACATAATTCTTTAAACCAATGTTTCTGAAACTGTGTGTGAGATAATTTTAGGTGGTACATGAGAAATAACTTTTATTTCTACAATATAATTTCCTTTGCAAGATTGTCTTCTATTCATGGTAGGTTTTATTGGTTTTCCATTTATAGTGGCTGTAAAAATGCCCTTTATCAGATAAATTTATTTAATAAAAATAGATTATTTAAAGATACATATTAAGTCAATAATATTATAGGTGATATGGCTATAATTATAAAAGTGGTACTCAATGTAAATGCTGGAAATAATGACTCATTTAAGCAAACAATACATTTTTGCCTTTATAAACCTAAAATTCTATTTCCTATGTTAAACTTATTTCAAATGTGGACTGAAAATATGACCTTTTATCTCACTCCTAGTGGTGTCCATGTTAATGTGTATATTTAATACAACTATTAGAAGGTAGTAACATGAAGTCATATAACTAACATATTATTCTGGGTTCAAAAAATAATTTCTGTTCATGTATTCTTATCTAGATGTATAAAAAACTATGCAGGAGCAAAATGACCTTGACAGCAAGGTCAGAGTAACTGAAAAATCTGACTTTAGAAGGGTACAAAGAAACATGCTAAAAAAAGTCAACCTACATTTATGTTAACATGCTAAAGTATGAATTTTTGTTTTATTAAAATTATGCATCTCCCACCTTTATTTATAGGTGAAACTAGCACATAATATTTTATGCCAAAATGAAATTCAAAATGTTGTAGCCTTTTGAGGACAGTATTAAATTCATCATCGTACTTAATTCTTACATGATACTTGCTATAGCCATAGAGCATTCTTAGACACTATGATTCACAAAACACTTAACTTGCGTATTTGGCTTGTAACACATTACATATTAAAACAATTACTGTTTTTCTGAATACCATTAATATTAATAATAGCATCGAAATGACTAAGAGTGGACTTAAATAAAGGCTGGCTTGAAACTCAGTTCTGCCATTTATTAGCAAGCTTCTATAAATTCTGAGCCCTTAGTTTTCTCACATGTGAAACAGAGAAAATAAATCTGCAAAATTAATTAGGTCTACCCATTGATATTTTTCTCTCCAGTGTATGTTAACTGGCATTCCTCCTTGGGCCAGAATGTGCTCTCAACCATGCTCCAAATCCCCTTTGTGCCAAACCCACTGCCAGAACCCTCTCTACCTTGAGAACCAGAAAAGGAAACATTATGCCTGGCAATGCCTACAGCTTCCAAAATAAATCTGCAGGAAAGAACACCAAGTGATGAGAGCAGCAACGACGGCCTTTATCATTTTAAATTTACAACTCCACCTTTCTAGAGCCTCTTAAGCATTGTAGATAATACCCCACTCATTAAAAAATAAATTGTAACCATAAGTATTCAGTGTTGATAACTGCTTTTGAATTGGACAGTGTTCATATCAGCTGCATAAGACCAACCTGAAGTTGAGGATGAAATTTTTTTTCCAAACCTTTTTATAACGTAACTTAGTGAATAATATATTAAAACTAAACTTTCTTTGAATGGGAGTAATTTCAACCGGTTAATCTGTAATATCTTAGACCACTCATAGACCTAAGGTAATGTAGAGGTTGCTTGTTGTATCATAGGCTTCGTGATTAGAGACCACTGGATTTGTTTTTGGAAAAGTTACTCATGACTCTTAGGGCTTAGGTTTCCTCATATTTCATACCGGCTTAATAATGACCACCGTAGAGTTGTCATGAAAATCAAATGAACTCATGTACCACAAGTGACCAATACAATGACTGACACTCAGCGATTTATCAATAAAGTAAAACATTTATTACCAATATGACAAAGAAGAGGCCGCTAAAATAGACAATAGGTTTTTGGAAGAGGTGATTATATGGAAGCGAAATTTATGGATTTATGCGGTCTACCTTTGCTGTGTCCCCTGGTTGTGGTGTATACACATGTGCGTATAGAATCGTAAATCCTATGTTGGAGCGTAATGCATGCGCAGCAGGCTTAGGCACGAAATGTCATTTCAGCAATGTGCCTAGGGAAGCTCTGACGCTGCCTTGGAATAAGTCGTTTCTGCTTGACCTTTGGGCGTCTGGGAGGGATGCCTATACCTGCACCCAGCGCTGGAAGGGGCCCAGGCCCTTCCCACCACAGCCTATCCCCAGACTGCTTAGTTCTTCATAACATACATCTCCACGGAAAAGGGTATTTCCTCCCGTCAGTAAAAGCGCCCCAGTCTGGTCTGGGTTAGTTTTTATTTTACGTTGTTGCAAGTAGGCGAAGTCCCTTCAGTCTCCTCCCTTGGGGTAAGTGGAAAGGAGTCCGGCAGAAAGCTCGCAGTGGCCTGCACAGGGAAACTGGGTAGCGAGAGAGTTCCAGGCAATTCCGGGGGCTGTTCCACAGAAGCAGGTGGGGATCCACAGTGGTTCTCTTGCCCAGGAAGAAAAGCGCGGCCGCGGGTCCCTCCCCTCAGTCTGGAGGCTGCAGCCGCTAGAGCCGGCCCGGGTGGGGGCGGGGTGGGGGTGGCGCGGAGGGCGCGGAGATTACGGCGGCGCCACCCTGGACATCCAGGCCCCAAAGGCCCAGGGGGGTCCCCACGCGAGATCGCAAATGATGACAACAGGCAGTCACCCGAGGTCGAATAAAAACGGAGTGGGTCCCCCGCGCGCTGCCGCCCCCTGCGTCCCTGGCGGCCTGCCCCGAGGCCCCCGGCGGCCGCCGGAGCCCGCAGTAGCTGGCGGCGACGTCGCCCCCGCCCCACCTCCGCGCGCAAGTGCGAGGCTGCCCGCAGCGCGGCGCACGCTCCGGCCGTTCCCCGCTTCCGTGCAAAACTTCCATTCCGTCCGCGTGAAGTTGTCGCAGCCTTAGAGAGGGGAGCTGAGGGAAAAGCTGAGGAGTGACGACTGCGGAGGCTGGGCGCGCGCTCTCTTTTACTTTTCTTCTCCTTTACCCTTGGTCGCAGTCGGAGTTTTGGCTCCTCTCCTTTTCTCCTCCCCCCAACCCCCCCGCCCGGAGCCGGCTTCTCCTCCCGCCCCGCTTCTCCCCTGCTTGTATACGCTATTTGTTGTGGGGTGGCCGAAGGGGATGTCCTGTTTTCACCAGAGGCACAGCGCGAAGGAAAAACTTCGACACTGGAAAGAAGGAGAATAAATACTTAATTACGGACGCACAGAACAGCGGCTGGGACAGACACTTCGGGAACTCAAGGCGGTCCGGGCTAAGAGGTGAGTGTCCGGTTCTTCCAATCCCCGTCCCGGGACTCCCGGGTAAGCCTGAGTTTGGAGAGCCCCCAAACTCTCCGGGAAAGTGCTCGAGGCTCCGCCGGGAACGCCGAGCCGTGGGGACGGAAGAGGCGCAGCTGGACGGTGCGTTGGCGCCGGCGTCCCCTGGGGCGCTTGGAGGCCGGGTGCCCCACGCCTCAGGACCCGGGCTGCTCGGATTGCAGCGGTGCTCTCTGCCCTGGAGGACGTCCCCGCGCCCCAAGGGTCCCTTCGGAGCCGGCCTGTCCCTTCCTGAGTCGGCGCGGAGCCTGAGAGTAACGGAGTTCGTCGCCCCTCGTAGTCCAGCGCGCTGCTTCTACCTGCACCCGCCTCCACCTGGCGGAGGCGAGCGCATCGGGGTCTCCCCCACATCTTCCCTATGATATGTATTGTTTTCTGATGACCCCTAGATGGCCAAGGCGCGAGGATGCTGACCCAGCGTCCCTCGGAGGGTCCCAGGAGCCTGGGCTTTCCCGATGCCGGTGCGTGTGTACTTCACAGGTTCGCGCTCTAGGCACTGATCGGGCTTTTCAACAGCGGCGATCCCACTTTAATAGTTTTTATGTAGCGTGGACTGAATGTCTTTTGCAGTTTGCCAGGGTTCGTGAAATTAGAGGCGCGTTGTCAGAGCAGTTGCGTTCTTTGGCTCGAGTAGCGGGTGCCCCATGGAAGGCTTATAACTTCTCCAAAGGAAGGGATCTGGGTGGGGAAAGCAGGTTTTTCCCTCCTTCCAAGCTTGCTGGGTCTGGGGAGACTGGGACTTGAAATGGTTTGGATTTTTAGCGTGGTTAAGCGGGGTTTGGAAGTAGATGTGTGTGTGCTCGTTTTATTCTGCGCCGCACAGCAACCCGAACTTTCGATTGGTAGCACTTGAAAGAGTTTTCTCTCTTTGTCTGCGAGATTCAGAACAGCTAGGACCGATTAGGGAATTTGCGGACCGAGTATGGTGGCAGAGCTGTGGCAAAGGCAGAAAGCGCAATTTAAGTTTTCCCATATTTCCCCTGCTTGGGGGGACAGTGTCTCCCTTCACCACCACCCCGCTTTCTCCTTCCTATGAAGAAGGGGTTTGCGCCTTGAGTGTCCGGGGGAGGGTGGTGTGGAGATTGTCCTCCCTCATCGCGTCCCCTGCGCCTCTGCCCACCATCCCTGCAGGCCAAGAGAGTCATTCATGAATCTTAACCTGAGGGCAGAGGAGGAAGGTGCAGGTCCTTCTGCCCTTTCTGCCAAGGTGCAGAATAGCGCTCGGGCGTGTGTTATGGTTCCCAAGCAGTTCCACGTGGAGCACCTCCGTGTGCGTGTGTGTTGTGTACTTGATCTGTGAGGAGGTAACAGGAGTCTGGTGTTCAAACCCAGTGGGCCGTTGGCCATTAGTTTGCTTTCCTGGCTGTCATTACAGACACTTCCAAAATCTGATACCTAAGAGAACCAACAGGTTAGGTTTCACATTAAGAGCTCATACTTAACAGTTTTCTTTCTCCCTTACCCCTTTTTGCTTGGCACCCTGGGATCAACGTAATTGTTGGAGCGAAATACATCTCTTGGAATATGGCATTTTGTTCCTCTTCTCCTCTGAGGCCACTTAGTGAACCCTCGGGCGTTTGTCAGTTTCAGTGCGGGCTCCTGCGGGATTTAGGTGGGAGTCTTAGGAGCGTTTAGCAACCGCGGGCTCCCTATCAACAGCTTCTGAAGTTTCACTTACACGTAGGTGACTGACAGGACTGAAAGTTGACGATGTTTTTTTTGTTTGTTGCGTTGTTTTTGTTTTTTTAAACCTCAGGGCAAGGATTGCACTTGAATTCCTTTCCCCGGTACAGTTTGGTTATAAGCAGAATCAGTGCCTTGTTTTTTCTTTTAAAATATTGTTGGCAAGCTTATACCTGAAGAACCAAAAACTAAAGGGGGCAGGGAGAGAATCCTAAAACAAAATATTTGATACTTGGTATGGGGCGTTTTAGGATACTGCATTCGGAAACATTTGTCTATTTTTAAAAATAACATTATGGGAAGAAATAAAAAGCAATAGTAACAAGAAACAAACTGTTTTGTGGAGCTAGACTGCCAGAATCTGATTTTTATGGCAACAATATCGAAAGCAGATATAACTACACCCACATTTATTGTTATAAACCGTAAAAATAGTTTGTTCCACCTGATTAAAACTTGTAACTCATTCAGAGTTAAACTGGTATTTAGAAATGACTGTACAAGAATGTTAAAACTTTTGACAGCTACAGCTTTGAAAGCAACATAATTAGATTTGTTGGAAACAGTTCCTTTCCATGATTATTAGGGACATGTCCTTGTTTTTTTTAATAAGTAAAGGTCTAAAATCAATATGGTTTTCAAAAGCCTGTTTTCCTTTGTAAATTTCCTGAAAATAGTATGTTTCAATATTTAAAGGCCATTTGTAACTACAGGTTGGTTCACAATTATAACTGAAATAAGATTTACTCCATTGTTTTCTTTTTATTAGTATTTATTGAATATTTGAATTTCTCATTTCCAAAATAAAAGGTTTCACATGTATGTATATATTCACAATTAACATTTTTAAAGTAGTGTGTTCAAGTTTTAAAAATTTAAAAATCGTAAGATTTGTATAAAAAAGAATGATTGTATAAATAATTATTAATTGTTAAGAAAAATAGATGCTGAATTTTAGAGGGTTTCTAGAAGCTGAAGAAAAAGAATTTTCTGCATAGAAGTTTTTTTTTTGAGGGGTGACTGGAAGATGAGTTCTTGTCATTTTGCTATAATTTATTTTATTTTTTCTTTTAAGAAGCCTCTTTGGATTATTTTAAAAAAAGAAAAGTTCTCTATTTCTAAGAGTTTCATTTTTATTTATGTTGTGCTTTGGGGTGTAAATAAATTTTACATAGCCATGGGAAATAGAGTGTCCAGTTTCATGTTTTCAATCTCTCTTGTTAGCTCTAAATGACTGGTGTCGTGTCTAAAAATATATTTATATGGCTTGATAGTTCATTTTTACATTTTATGCACTGGAATTAGATTATTTAGAATTTTTAGAAAGGTAGAATGATAGAAATACCATGACTATTGTTATAAAAAGTTAGGATGTTAGGAACTTCACATTCTAACTTTCAAATAATAAAATTAAACTTATTTAGCCCTACAAAACTTCACAGTTTTTATACAGAATTCAGAATAGGGGAGATATTCTTTTTCAAGACTTAGTTAAGTGTTAAGTACTTTAAGAATGCAAATATTTGTTGTGTTTTCTCATTATCATTATTTTCTATTAGGTAAATGCAGGAACACTGGACATTCAGTAAAAACAGGCCCCTCTTTATAAGGAGTTTATTCACCATAGTTCTGTATTGCAGCTGCTGATCATATTTCATGGAGCTGTTAAAGCACTTAAAACCTAAATTTAGGTACTGTCTGGTTGTAAATATTTCATATCACTCATTTAAGAGGTAGAAAAGCGTGCTATCAAAAGTAGGAGATGTTTTGAATCCTCTCATTGAAGAGCTGAACAAACCTCTATCAAAACACCTTCTTATTTTTTCAGTGAGAATATAATCTTGACAGTTTTTTTTTCTAAATGGTTATTATTCTTACATATACCAAATGCTAAACTTTTATAATGGGCCTCCCTATAGGGTATCTTAAACTAATTATATTCAGAAATACAGTGGGGGATTTTATTACAATAGTTACTAGGTGAAGGAAATCAACACCGGGGGAATGGGGTGTCATTGCAGTGTACCTGCTTCTCTCATGAATTTTTCCTGGTGAACTAAGAAATGACATCCTCCTTCAGGCATTTGCCCTGGAGATGGGTGAGAGGCAATGGTGTAATGAAATTGCAATATGTGTAATACTGCATCTTGTAGTTCGATGTGTTTTGATGAGGGGGACACTGAATATTTATTAAATCATTCTTGGAGCCAAACTTGGTGTCATTTAGCCTGAACTTAAGAGAAAAAAATGAACAAGAGTTACACATTAAAAGGCAGTACAGGCAACTTTGCTATTAAGAGGTCTGAAGACTTTGTAAACATTGCTGTCACTTAATATTGCTTGTGGAACTGCACATTAATATATGTCTTGGTGATATGTCATTTTACTCTTGAAGTTTGTGATTCTTGGTGTTTTTTCATCCATGTTTTCATTAGTAAAGAGATACTGAAAATGACCACCACTATTCTTACTCCCCTAACCCCTTCCGCATCTCCAGAAAAAGAGATGAAACGGATTAATTTAAAATAGAAACCATTTTGTGTTATTAAAACCATATTTACAGAGTGGTTTGAGAAATTTCAGAGAGTGCACCTCTGAGTCTCACTGTAACCTTTTTTGTCATTGAAAGGTGCGAATTGATCTTAGGGCACTGACATAATAGTATAGTTTGATATTTGAAACCTTTCAGTTTTGGTCTGGCCGTTTTCTTACCCTGAGATTTCAATGCATGGATGATGAGGAAAGACACCATTCTAAAATATCAGAAATTCTCATTTTTTTCAGCATGAAATGTTTTAATATAGCATATTCATATTTTTAAAGCTTTTATTTACAAACAGTAAGTAAATTTATTTTAACGTACTTTCGGACTATAAGAGAAAGACCTATATGTACTATCGTGTTAGAATTGTTTAATTTTTCCCTGTACAGTTAATCTATTTAGGTTATAATTTTTAGGCAAAGTCTGATTACTATTATCACATGAATATTTTCAAAGTGAAATTGCATTAAACCAATGTGGAATAGCTGTCATATCTGAGAGCATATTTCCTTGATTATACCCTAAAGTGTATTTGTAAATAAAGGTGGTCACTTTGGTCTTTAGCTAGTTGCAGTTTTGCTGTCTATTTAAGTCATCATCATTGTTACTGTAGTACTGATCACTATCACCACCATATCATAGCTAGCATCATCATTGTTACTGTAGTACTGATCACTATCACCATCATATCATAGCTAGCATCATCATTGTTACTGTA